GTGTCTTGAGACAAGGCTTAGAAAATTAGGCTTTCCAGATGTCAACAGGACCATGCTTCCAGCATTCCTCAGCATTGGTCATGTTGTCTGAAACTGCTAAAAACAGCTGTTCAACAACATTTGGAAGGCCTCAAGCTACCCATATCTGAAAAGATACATATTGATTGTGAGATCTGCCCTGTAAATTCCCACCATATCAGGAAAAAGGGTAGCCACAGAGAACTGGTTCAGATTAATCCAGTTTCACCTTTCTGAAGTGAAAAGAAAGATGCTGCCTTCATCCCAATTACAGAACAGTAGCTGGAAATCCAACATTAGTTCTATATGAAGGATAGGACAACCGTTTCTTCATTTGCAGGTTAATTCAGGAGCATAACACAGAAGGAAGTTATCACTCACTCCTCTCCTAGAAGAATGAAATGTTCTAGGAAATATTAAAAAGGCAGAATATTATGCCACCCTGGATGAGAAAAGGAGAAACATGCCCTTGTTAATAACCGCAGAAAGACTGAGCCATCCTATCTACAAGACAAAAGGCCTTCAGATCCACGGTGATAGGATTAGCCCTCACTCAAGATCCAAACCAGATGAAAGCCATTATAGGAATTGCACAACACTCTTTCAGAACACAAGCCTGTTCATTACATCATCACCCAGCAAGATTCAACCAAGCCTGGGACAGAGACAGCCTACAAGGTTAGCTGGACCCCCGCATAACCCCCTGAGAGTCTGACAACCAATAGGATACATTTATTGCAAGGCCCAAGACAGGTTATAAATATATCCCACTCTCCACTCCATGTGTTCAGCTGCACCAGGACCATGTGCTTAATGGTTATGCTCCATTAAACCATCCTTCCAAACAGTCTCCATGTTTCCAGTGCCTTTCTCCCAATTTGGAACTGAACACAGATGGACATTTCTTCCAACAACACGAACCTTACTTTTGTTCCCTATCCATCAACTCCAGGTTCCAAAGGGTACTTCCTTGAACCTTGTTTGTTTCTGGTCTCCAGATCCAGATGTACTATATATAAAAGAGCTATTTGCCTTCATTCAGGGAGGCGCAGTTGAACAACGCTACAGCTCAATCATCTACTGGGGAGATTAACAAGTACTAGCAAGGATATTGAAGCCCTACTCCACTGGTCCCATGTCAGATCTCTCAGATATCGAATGGAGGATAGCTGTATCTGAAAGTTTGGCAGTGCTGCTGATAAGCATTGTAGACCAGGTTCAGACAATATTTTTTTTGTGACCGGAGTCTACTTTTTTTTTTTTTTTTTAAAAAAGGAAAACCCCTGCAAGGATCTCAGAGCATGGTGATGACATCATGCATGATAGCAGGGCTGTTAAACTCGCGGCCTGTGGGCCTGATGTGTCACATGCTGGCCACGCCCGTGCCTGGTTTAGCAAAGGGGGAAAAGTCACAATACGTCACGTGACACCAATCGTGACCATGTGAGTTTGACACCTTTACATTATAGTATCGAAGGGCTTTCATTCAGTTATTATTTTCCAAAAATAAAAAGTAGGGGGAAATGTCTTTGATTTCCTGCATTTACCTCCAAATTTTGGCAACATAATTGGGAGAGGATACAGGGGGTGCGGGGAGGGGAAATACAGCCTGGTTGGTTTCTGTGGCCTAGCAAATTGATCGTTTGTTCTTAATCAGTAAAAGAAACTTCCCGTGTACCACACTGCAGCTAGGCAATTTGAGATGATAGTTATAGCAACGATACCTGTAGTGTTTGTAATGACTCCTTTAATTTATCACAGCCAGTCAAATCCACTAATTGTTGTCCATTCTGTTTATAGCCCGTGGGTAATTTATACGAAGCACTGGAATAAATGTATGTCCCATGACATGGCTCTCTTTGACTTTAGAAAAGCCTCTTCTTTCTTTGCATTCTGCAAGGCACATCTGACTCTACTTTTTGTGTGATGAATGCCTTTCCCAGGCTTTTCTATAGGATGGGATTGTCAGTTTGTGGCCAATCTCGGTTGCAGTTTCAACTCCTGTTGTATATATCCTTATTTTGTACCAGATAGTGTTAAAGAGTTAATTAACACTAGCTCACTGTTACATGACAACAATATCTCTGCATATCTGGGGTTTGGTCACAATGCCAGCAGATCACAATTTTAATTCCTCAAAGAACAAAATAAAACCCAAGACCAATGTGTTGAAAGCAAAGTCGCAGATACGGTTCCGTATGGGAATATTTAACCAGCCTCTTTGGCTGATTCTGACCAAAGCTTGCAAGTAGGTGAAGAGATTAGTAAAGTCTTCAAAAGTGAAAATTCCAGCCTTTGGGAACCCTGACAAGAATTTGCTGCCAACAGGCTGCTTAAGTTGGCAGAACAAGACAAGCAGATTTGGTACAATAGGAGAACACAATGCCACAGAAGAAAGGAAAATCCACACAATTCAAAGAAAACAGCAGCTACATATATAGACACAGAAGGTGCACAACAAAAGCCCAACACAGGACAATCAGCCAGTGTCCCCAGGGTCTTTGTCCTCAGGGCCTTTATCTGAAGACCATTCCTCCATTCTCTCCCCACCTTGGCCTGGCTTTTTGGCAGCTGGAAGTCACCTCAGGCAGTACAGTTTGTTATGATTGCTGTCTCAGTTTCCAAGAACTGCAGCAAAAGCACTATTACTGGAGAGAATGCAGCCAAGGAAAGTTTGATTTAAAAAGGATTAACAAAGAACCAGCTGAACTGAAGAGAAAGAGATAGTAAAAAGAAAAATCCTTTCTCGGTGGAAGCTTTTGCTGTAAAACTGCTCTGCCTCATTTGCAACATTTTACTGAGGTAGTAGTGCTTCAGATAAGGTTGCAGGTTACTTGGAGCTCCCCCAGGGTCTTTCTACCATGGTTAAGACTTTCTTTCTGTTGCTAAAGAGACACTAAGGAGAAAAGACAACTGTAAACTAGTGGTACAAAGCAACCTCCACCCCAAGCCAAGGACTCTTGCTTCTTTTGAGTATGAGAGAAGAGCCCCCTCCCTAATTAGGGGCTCCCTAATTGACAAACTTTAGAATATGGAAGTGTTCTTTTAGAGAAAGTTTAGATGTTCTAAGCCAGCCCTGATTTTATCTATCTATCCATTCAAAAGTTAGAATTCCAAAAACGTGGGATTCGTAAGCAACATCAGTTTGTATTATTAATAAGATTCACCAAATTGAGAAGCATCTCATTAACTCAAGGTGGTAGTCCCATACATGAGATAAGGACATCAAATGGTCACAGGAAGCCAGAGGAGGTAAGAAATAATTACATGCTAATTTTCTGTTACTAGATATTAAACAAGTTGTTCTGGTTCTACAAGATGTGAAAAATATAAAATTTAAATAGGCTTCCCAGGTCCTCATCCAGAAATAGAACACATTAATCATGCCTGGTAGGATGAAGCTATTATGCCTTATAACCAGTTCAGCCCCGTTACAAGTTCTGTTCTTGATTATACACTTAAATAGATACATATTTATTAACATAGCTTTTTAGTATGAATTTTAGTATGAAGACAGGAATCATTGGTAATAGTGGGGAGGAGGGAACCAATGTTCAACAATAATAATTCCGATGTATTAGATTAAAGAAGACACAATGTAAAACTCTTAAAGGTCCCTATTGGGATTTCTAGTCTTCACACAAAAAGTATTGTGTAGAAGGCAACATGCATGTGCTAACATGCCCTACTTCTCCATCACATAGTTACTGCTTAGTCCACTCCAGAGAATAATACAATAAAGCTTTGTGCTTCAGATTCCTGCCCTGTGTCCAAACTGGTGATGGGTAAGTAGGTCATGTGTCAAACAAGGCAATCTAATGCATCGGCTCTCACAGCAGAAGGACTAAAAACTCCTTATACTGATCCGGAGGAGAAGCATCTAAGGAGGTTATCAAAAATGAAACTGGCCCATTAAAAAAAAGTTCAAGGAAATAATCTTCCACCTTTATATGTCACAATGCAGTAATGGTCAGCAACGTTTAAAGTCAATTGAAGGAAGGTGTAGCATAGGAACATATTGATATGGTTGGGATTGCAGGCTTGACTCAGAAACGCTGATTCTTGGAGCCACTTCATTTAAGTCACCCTTTCTCAATATAGTGCCTTCTTACTGGCTGAGAATTAGTGAACTGAATCCGCAGCACACCTAAACGATATCAGACTGGGGGGAACCTGTCCCAGGTGATCCATTTTCACACCTGCAAATTATAAGCTCTCAGAGAGATGGATTTGGGATAGATTCCTTTCAAGAGGATGAAAATAGGAGTCTGGATCCAGCAAGATCTCCCTAAGCAGAGTTCTATTAGAGCAAGGGTGTCAAACTCAAGTCATCATGATGTTATCAAGTGACGTATTGGGACTTTCCCCCACTTCGCTAAATTGGGCGTGGGCGTGACTAGCGCATGACGCATCCGACCCATGGGCCGGGAGTTTGACACCCCTGTATTAGAGAGTTCTGGTTCACATCACCTTCTTCACTGTCCTAGAACCCCACAATTTTCCAGAAGAGATTTTTAGAGGAATCAGAAATTCACCTATTCATTCTACCCGCAGGAATGCTCCATTAGACCAGAACCTACTATAGAAAAAAATCTGTTCTTTTTATAGAGCTCAAAAGTTGGATTCAGTCCAGGATTCTGAGCAGCAAGTTTTCAACTCACTACGGAAATGCTGAAAAATAGCTTACAGTTCCATAATTAGGCCAGATGGGGCAAAGACTCTCTTATTGAAGACACAGTGGCAAAGCTGGAAGGAAATCTAGCACAGAGGCGCAAATGTCTGAGACTAAGCTGCTTGCTAAACTCTAAAATCCCGCTCCAAAAATACGAAGTTAAAAATGTAAGTATTAGAAACTTTGGAATAAAATTTTGTTTGAACTATTTGTTCCTTCACACTGGGAAATATTTAAATGATACTGATACTGTTAATTCATATTTTTTTTTATTTTCTTAAAACCAATATATAAAAAGGCCATAAATGTTAGAGATGCTTTCATTACAGTATTTTGGGAAGAAGTACTAAACACAAAATCACCCAACTGAATTCCTATTTTAGTCCATTTTCTTGATCCTCAAAATACAATGAAGCACAAACTAATCAAATTGGCTAGATCTGCACAACATGCTAAAGGCATGAGGGCGAAACCACAAATGCACTTAACGTTAACCAAACTGTGTGACCTCTGACTCTAAATCTTAAAACACCTAGAGTAAGAATACTGCCTCTTAAGATGGTGGGGAAGTGTTGTAGTTCAGAATAGCAAAGGTCTTCAGGAGAGCACTTTGGAAGGTATGTCTCTTGCAAAAAATATAGCCAAATCTTTGCATAACCAGCCTTCTCATTCATCTCGCTTCTCACTTGCCCTAAGACTGAAAAGTCCAGAAGCATGAAAACCAGAGTGGAGAGCCCCTTTCAAAATCTTGTGGATTGATGCCCCTCTATCTATGGCCAGGCAATAAAAAAAAAACATTCCCCTTATTTCCTGCAATGTGCCTGATTTTCTTGTTCTCCCAATAAAAACTTTGCTTCCATTTTTTTTTCCTAAATGGCAAAAGAAAAATATGTAATATGGGACATTCAGTAGTTTGTGGCTCCATCTCTGATACTGAATATGACTGTAACGAGACTTTAATGTAAAATTAAGGCACTTTTCTCTCCTAAGTTAAACGGATTCTGTTGGATGTTTAGACTTAGAAAAGAGAGGAAACCAAGGTAGCTGAATAGGTTCTTCTGTAATTTTAGTGGCTTGTGTCAACTGGATCCCCCCAAAAGAAATTTTCCTTTCTTTGCCCCGCCCAATGATTCCAATGGGAAGAAAAAGGATGGGGCAAGCTCCAGGCTGCCATGATCCTACCCTCTTTAGAGGCATGTTGGCATATGAGGATAGTGGAAAACGGGATCTCTACTAGCAGCCCCCACCCATCCCCTTCCCAACCTTCACCGTAGTAACTGCAGACAGTTTGCAGCTCTAAGGAAAGTCCTTGTGAAGCTGGATTTCTCTCTCCAAGAACAAGCCTTTCTTTCTCTCCTTAGGGAAGGAAATTTAAGAAATCCTATTGGTTGGGTAATGGCTTATTTTATTACTATAAGGGTTACAGTTTTCGAGTAGTAAAGAAAGTTACATTGGATAATAAAGTACTGCATTTTTTCTGACTTGAGTTGAAAGACTGGAGGGGAGCCTACATATTCCTGAGCGTAATGGTTGTGTGTTATTATTCAAGACTCACTCCTTGTTTACACCAGTATCTCCAGTATTTAAAATGTTAGGATTCAGTTATACATATTCTATATGCTGTTTCACAGTTGCTTGTTAGCAGAGTTTCTTCAAAGTTTACTTATCAGGAGTTGCCCCAAACCTTGATCCTAGAATACCACCAACAGTTCATCACCAACTCTTCCAAAGCTTCCTTAGATTAGCTCCTTCTTGCACCTTGATTATAAGCCAGACAATTTGGGAAGATCTTTCTTCAACAGTGTTGGACCAAAGCTCCCCACTACAGAAGACAAGGGAGTCAGAAGGCGAGTCCATGGAAAACAAGTCTTTTGTACAATAACAAGCACCCTCGGGTCCACAGGAACCTCACATCTGTCCAGTGGCACAGGCATTTGTAACCTGGGTGTGTTCGGTGCTCCCAGCAGACTGGATGGAACCTGGAAGGGGCAAGGCGGGTCTCACCTCTGACCCACACGCTGTCTATTGGCTTCCACGTTCAAGGCCAAGTTATGGAGGAAGAGGAGGATCTGCCACCAGACCTGATTTCTGTTCTGCTGGTGCTGTAAAAAAGTGGGAAGAAGGGTCTCAACAAGATCACTCGTGTAAAATATTAAAGCCACCATTCAAAAGCTTAACCTGTCCCAATTTTTTTTTTAAAAAACACTAAGTTATACTTTTAAGAACAGGCACTTTTTAATCCAGCAATACTACACATGTAAAGGGTGGGGTGGAGGGGGGAAACATTGGCCCCAGGGTATGTGTGTGTGAGACTAGTAGTAGTTTCTCTAGGAATAATTGTTGCTCCAATATTATGAAAGAAAGAAGCAGGCCCTTTATGTATTGTGCACAAAAGGATTAGCCCCCCCACTCTTTTTTTTGTAGGATTCTGCAGAGTTTAGCCAAGTGCTGTTTTTAATCAGATTGGCTTCTGAGTGTCTCATAGCCCAGCTGCAAGAACAAACAACTTCTCCCCCCCCCACCCCCTTTTTTTCTTTCCTAAAGGAGGGTGCCCCCCCTCTCCCAGCAAACACAGGAGAGAGGGGGAAGGGAAGGGGGAGAAGAGAAGTGTAGCCGGTGATCCATCTGTAAGTGATTTGACACTGTGAAGGTCAAAGGGTTAATCTTCAATTTAAACCACACTGCTGAGACAGCAAAACTGATTTTATCCAGTACAAGAAAACACACTCCTATACACACACACACACACACACACACACACACACACACACACACACGCTCTCCCCCCCCCCCCAGGCTT